CTAAAAGTCACTGATATACTCATTGATTCATAGAAATATATTAGGCATCATTTAATTTGTTTTTCTCCTCAAATAAGTAAGCAATTATGTTAGGACATCTGTGTATCAGAAAAATTGATGATCTTGAACTCATGAGCAAAAGTAGCTTTAATATAGGGTTAACTTACTTTCGTAATTCCGAAATATTTTTTCAGTAACACTTAATATCCTAAGCTAATTATGATTTATTCAACACCCTAAAATATTTTTTCAATAACACTTAATGTTATAAAGTAATTTATCAGTAATTTTTGATACATCTAAAACTCTAAAGTATTTTTCAGTAATTTTCAATAGTACTAATATTATATTCCGAAATTTAAGCTGCCCATCATTACTTCTAAGAAAAATACTAATAACAGCAAAATTGCGCTGAAAAAACTTTAACATACTGGGTACTATTGAAAAAAATACTTTACATTGTTGGACGAATTACAAATTAGCTTATGATATTGAATGTTATTGGGAAAATATAGTAAGATGTTGGATCTTAAACTTTTAATATAAATTGGTTAAAAAATTATAAGATTCTCTTAAAATAAATATCTTCATCATAAATTCTTTTTTTAATACTATTACCGGCATCCAAGCAACTGTTTAATTCAGTTCAGAAACCGTGACTATCCTTTTTAGTGTAAGTGTTTCCTCTGAGGCTTAAACTTGAGACCTAGAGAGATTTAGTAACTAGTAGAGCCTTCCATTGTCAGGCCAACCCTATTTTAGTTTTCTTTTATACATCTTTAATTTTACATATTAAATAGTCTTGGTTATTTCTGTGAATAATATGTACGCGTGCGCGTTTATACACACGCACACACAACTATAATTTCCTTTTCGCCTATAATCACTAACTAGTAGTTGAGTGTACAGTCATTTCACTAGAATTTGTATATGTTACGTTTACTATGAATATGAAAACTTCACAGATACAAAGGTATAACACCTTTATCTATTAAAGGATAATAATAAAAGAAATTATTGCGTGCGGTTATTATATACATTGAACTAGGTGATAAAGGTTAGGTTCAAGTCAACTAGTTTCAAAAGTAAATCAATTTTTTTGAAATGCTTCGGTTTGAATTGAAATAAAGAAAGAAAAAAAAAAACAGAAGAATATAAATGTTAATTCTCATGAGATTTATATGGAACGATGGGACTACACCGACATTTAACCCATATACTCATTGTATCTATATATTTAAGAAGAAAGTGACAAAACATTAATTAATATAATTGATGGCAAACCTACATCATAATTTGTTATACATTTGTCTTTTCTCTCTATAAATAGATCAGTTAGCTTCTAAATTTAGGAGATTCAAATTGGGTTAAAACATGAATTCTCTTTGTCTGTAAAGCAAAAGTATAATCCTATTGCCTTACAACTATAAATCCAAACAGTCCAAATTTTTTGTTTTCACACTTCACAGAGATGTATCATACTTTTCCCCCCTCATGTTCAAGAATTTTTGCCTTGGAGAATAAGCTTTGGCATCCATTGGTTATTAGCCACGCATTAGGGAAAAACAGTGAACAGAATTCGCAAATTTCATCACAAGTCAGACCGTCCCTAATTAATTACCGACAAAATTTTACCGCTAAAATAATTAGCAACAAAAACTCCGTTCCCAAATTTTATTGTTAATTTGCTCTTTTTTTTTCGGGTAGTCACCAGACGACTAAGTTGAATCGAAGTTATGATTGGTGGTTAAATAAATTCTTTCCCAAAAATATTCTCTCCAAGAATCATACCCCTAATATTGCCAGTAAAATTTGTTTTGAGACTCTTTAAAATTTTGTTACTACTGTTTCTTTTATACACCTATTACGGTGATTTATAGGCCTGAATTCCTTATACCACCACCAAAAGTCACCTCTTTGCCATCATCTTTTGCCCTTTCGTTTTCCCCATCTTATTTTCGTACAATGATAGAATCTCACAGTAAGTCTAAAAGCTCAAACTCAATTGATGAATAATGAAGCAGACCAATGATAAGATAATTATATTTGTCAGAATTAGTTCTTAGCATTGCTTGTGGATTTGGAATTTGACTTGGTAAAAGATTTCCTTCCACTAATAGTGATAGTTATATCTTCAAGTGATAAAGATAGACAACATTTTTCCCAGTTATAATCTCATAACTTTGGTTAAGAAATTTCATGCTTCAAACAGTGGTATATATAATATAATACGCTTTCTGCAAATTGTCATTTATTTCTCTTTCTTTCATCATCGTCCATTTAAGTTTAGAGGAAAAAATATTCCGCGATACAAAATTAAGTTGGAGAAAAATTAGATTGTGTGTAAGAACCCAGCTTTTTTATGTTTAAATAGAATGACCTTTAAAATTATAATTTTTATCATATTTGGAATTTTTTGATATAAAATTATAATTTTGATAATAATTTTTTTAGAAAAATTTAATAGTAATTTTTCAAATTCATAGTAAACCTCCCAAGAAAGAAAGGACAAAAGATAAAAAAAAAAAAAAAAGGGAAAAACTTTTGGAGTGTGAAGTGAAGGAACATCATTTCCATCACTTCAATATTACAAACCTCATTATAAACTACAAGGCTTAATCATCAACCCCATAAACAATACCTACCTATCCCTCAATTGTTGTTAGGATCACGCTTCATTTTCAAATTTCCTTTGAAAAATTTTTGACCTCAATAAGTCTCATTCATTCTATAAAATATTTTTCAAAGAAAAATTCATTATAAAATAATGAATTTCATATCACTTCAGTACTCATTAGTTAATTACTCCCATCTCTTTGAAAACAATATGAATATCCAACTAATTATCATTCAAATACAATATTATCTCTTTAAGTTTATGTTTCTCATTTCACATGATTAAATTGTACGGTTAATATACAAATTTACCCACAAAAATATTCGTGATCGGGCACTTAACACTATAATATGGTTCACTTGGTTAAAAAGGTACCTATGAAAATTTTAAAATGGGACAAGAATATCAAATGTGCAGCCGTTTATTTAAGCACACTTTTGTTACTTTTAATGGTAGGCTCTACAGTCATGATGTTTTTGCATCCTTTTGAAATCGTCATAGATATTTTTTGCATCCGAGTGAACATTATGATGTCATATGTGCATTTACGAATATTTGATTGATAGTTTACATTTGAACTCTTAAATTAAATTATACTCCTTCAATTTTTAATATAGGACCCAATTGTTGAGTTAATCTTGGTCTTAAATATAAGACTTATTTTTCATATGCATCATTTTTTCTTAGATTACCCTATTAATACTTCTTCAATCATAATCGAGTAAAAGAGAGTGTGAGGATATTAAGAAAGATTATTATGGTATTTTAAAAAAAACATGTCATATTTGTTATAATTAACTAACTTACCTAACTTTTTTAATCTAATCAAATTAGTTAAATAGGTCTTATATAAAAAACTAAAAGAGTATTTCAGGCCGGCAACAAAAGCACGTGCTTATGAATAGAACCATAAAAAAAACTGCATGATTACATGAGTAATTTAATTTGGTGATTAATGAAATAAATAAAAATATTGATGTGACACATAATATCTGATGAAATTACATTAAAACCACACACGTGTAATTTGGTTGCTTGTGAAGCCAACCAATCATGGTTCTTGAGAAGTTTCCATTTCCTACATAGCTGGGCATCATAATGCATCCAAATTATGATTGGGAATACTGTTTGTCTATTTGAGTCTTATTCATGGATCCATTTATTTGTCCAACATCCATCCATCTACTTCACATTTCTTGCAAGTAAATGATTATTTGAAAGACTCGCTTTGCGCTGCTCCATTATACATACATTTTCTTGCATAGAACAAAAGTGGACCAAATATATAGCAGATAGATCTATCACATCAATATCATATACATGACATTTTTTTTTGAAAAAAATGAATCATAGAGACCATAATTTCTTATCATAAATAGACCCATTAACTTTACCTAACAATCTCAATGAAAGGACTTAATTAAACAATTGTGCAGTATATATATTTTAGTGAGAATTGAGCAGCATATCAATTCAATGACCACTGTGTAGTGTATTTATAAAAGTAACGTTAATTATTTGATTATATCATATTTGACTTTATTTTGAAAACTATCAACCAAATTATGATTCTATGTGCGTTTTTCTTTAACTTTTGTAATCCAAAAAAGGATTACATTTTGATGATCCTAATTTATTGTTCCTTATTTAACTTTTTGTAATTAATCACGTTAATTGATCTATCATGGTTTGAAAATTGGTGATCAAATTTGTCTTACTATTCAAAACTTGAATGATCATTGTAAGGTAATTTCTTTTTGTGAAAATAATATTCTTGAAAATTGACTGCTCTAATATTTCCGTTATTAACGTAGCTGACAAGTTTGGATTATTTCCATAAATATCTTGGTCATGAATAAATTTGTTTTAGAAGGCTCATTAGACTGAAATTATTTAAAACCAAACCAAAATAATTTTTGTGCTTATTTAAGATCACAATTGGAGACCACAAAAGCACTTATTCACCTCATATTTCATAAATTATAATTAAAAAGCTGATTTTAAAAAATATACTATCATTTCAAACTAACACTTAACATTACTAAAAGCTTACCAACGAGTTGTTAATTAAGATAGTAAGCTGTCTCATCTTGTACGGAAAAAAAAATTTATTGAGAAGGTTTTAATTTTAACACTCTCGTCTTGACAAAAATTAGTCTCAAGCTAAAAATGAATTAAGAATGCTATGAGGGGAAAAAAAAGCCTTCTTTTGAGGGGGGGTTTACCATCCCTCCATATCTATCCATATTGTCATTTGTCAAATGTACATTTTTTTCCCCATGTCCAGTTCTCTAAGCTCTGAGGAGAAATCCCGAGCTTCTGTTCAAAAATAATATTTAAAAAATATTTAAACCAAAAAAAAAAGAAAAAGAAGAAGAAGAAATCACAGCCACGCTTGGGCGGGATAGTGCTTGGATTTTGAACCGTAAGGGCACGTCGAGCTCACAAAATCATTTACCAGAAGAAGATATGTCTTAAGATCATGACACGTGGCAAGATCGAAGTTCTTAAGGTGTGGAGATTCTCTGCTACTGAGTCTCAGCTCCTGCCCTACGTCCGCATACACCCACTGCAGGTCCTCCATGCGCCTATGCAGCCACCCGGGCAGCCTTCCGAGGTGGGCCACCCCATCGCCTGCCACGTCACCATTTCTGGCCACGAACCCCGGCACTTTCGTAATAACATCATCGGAGTTAACTATTCTCAGAATCTTGGTCCCACTTTGCTCCAACCGCCGCCGGAAGCTTTCGTTCCCCACGCGCGGGCCGCCAAATGAAACCACCGTCACCATTGGCGCATTCTTGACTGTGTTGGCTATATCGTACGCGCTAAGAATCGCGAGTGCTGCTCCCAAACTGTGACCAGTTATCGTCACGCTTAGGGGCTCATCGCCGTAAGATTGGATAATCCTCTTTACTTCTTCCCTCACCATTTCCCGTAAACTTGGAGTCTTCGGCGTCTTCGATAGATAAAGACTCAAAAACCCTTTCTCTACCATCGCTTCCCCACCTTTACCTCCCATATCCGCCGGCAAACTGGTCAAGGCGGCGCGTGCATTCTCCAACCACTCCAAACAAGTGCTCGTCCCTCTCAAAGAGATCACGACATCGCGCCGCCCAAGCCTCGCTATCTCCTCCTTGTCCTGACAAACTGCCACGTAACCTATCCAACTGCACAAACTAAGCTTCCAAGGCACTTTATCAATCCACTTCGGCAAGCGAATCCCACACGTTGCTCGAAGGTTTTTCGTTATCTTATACCCTGACTTCTGAACCCCCGATCGGCTCAAAAGCTTCCGTTTCGGGTACCGGCTCATGGCGTACGTCGGGGACGACATGTCGAAGTCGAAAGAGCGATACGCCGCGTCGACGAACTGGCCGTATCTCAGGATTTCATGGCGTAAGGTATCGTCAAGAGGGTCGAGCATGCCGTCCCAGTTGTTGATCCCTTGGTACTGCATCCACCTGCGGCCGAGCTTTGGCAAGTCGCATTGGGCCGGCGAGTCGTGCTTGAGCCGACTCCATGAGAGCTGAGACTTCTTGAACGGCAAGTTCGTGGTGGAGGCAGCAGCGGACTTGAATTGGAAGGGATCTGATAAAGAGCTATTAGGCACTGAAGTAAAAGAAGAAGAAGACGAAGATTGGTGAGAAGCTCGAAGAGGAAGCCTCATAGTAGTGAAGAAGAAAAGAGAGAAAAGTAGAGCAGTGGAAATCGATATCTCACTCTCCTTGGTTTATGAATAATTATTATGATCCCATGAGTGTTAATGGTTAATAATTACCATTGCATATATATACACACACATGTACATGTAAATTTGATGAAGGGAAGGGAAGAGGAGGGAAGGACGTGGACGGTGGGAGAGAGGAACAGTGGGGGGAGAGAGAGGAAGAGTGAGTAACTGAAAAACGGCTGCGGATTGAGGAGAAGCAAGAGGAGTGACGTATGGTGGGTGTGGGTCCCACAGATCAGAATGTGGAGATAACGACAAAGTGCTTTCCGCCCACAGGGGGAACGTGAAATTTTCGGCCTCTTCAGAGACTTCCATAAATACAGGCAGCAAGCCGCGTCGAGGAGTGAGGACCAAGGAGCGGTACATAGTAATAAGTCAAAGTCAACCAAGGCATATATGACTCTTGCTACTTATTCCGCGAGCTGTAACATATAAAGTAGTACTCTTCTAATTTTTAATATAAGACCTAATCATTAAGTTGATTTTAATCTTAAATATAAAATCTATTTATCATATTTATTAATTCTTTTTAAATTATTACTATAAATACTCATTCAACCATAATCAAGTAGAAGAAGATGGGAGGATATTAAGAAAAATAATTATGATATTTTAAGAAAAACATGTCATATTTCTTATAATTAACTAACTTACCTAAATTTTTTAATCTAATCAAATTAGTTAAATAAGTTTTATATTAAAGATCGGAGCAGTAATAATTATTTATTTTGTTGTGTTGAAAATTAGTTTATATTATTTCATATTAAAAAATATATTCTTGTAAAATTAAAGGAGGCTCCATGCGATTTATTTTGTACTTTATACTAATATTGATATGAATATGAAAAAAATTTAATTAAATCCAGTTGAAATATCCACACTTAAATTTAGGTCCACTTTTAATAAATTCTTAATCAGATCGTGAAGCCTAATTATTGATTTCTAATATGGTTAAATAATCAGAACGCGTCTCTTTAATTGAAACAAAAAATTGATTACTCTACCCCTTTCAAGTGATTGTTCATCTCTTATGATTATTTCTTGAAAACATATAAGTGATAATTTTAATTTTAGTTTAAGTACTTCAACTGGATTTAATTGAGATTTTTTTGTTAATATTGGTGTGACAATTTCATAATCACGATGGCAAACAAACAATTTCAGAATCACACTGGAATACTCAGTTTTGTTTGAAATATTTTGAGAATTGATTTGAACAAATATATACGTCGAAATCAAATAATCCCAGCGAAAAACAATGAACAAAACAATTTTATTTAAGTATAAAAACAACCAAAACTGATAGAGGTATATTATGTGCAAGTATAAATATACGTATTGGTTATAATAATTTTACTAATAATAATTAAAAACTTTAAACCAGAGCCAGTTGGGGTTGAGTTCTATATTCATTTTTTCAAGGCATAAACATTCTCCTGTTGGATGTAATTAAACATCATCAGGCATTAAATATGGACATCTCTCCTATTCGACCTTTAATTTGCCATGCTGTAAAAGACAAGCCTAGACTCAACCCCTAGTGGTAGTTCTATATTAATTTGTTTGGCTAACAGTACTATATCATATGGCATGCAACAAGTATAATTTGATTCAATCATTGTGGACCAGCTTTGGTTTAGCGAAAGAATTTCTTATGAATTAAGATTTAAATTTCGGCTGAGATACTAATGCTTAGGCTCATAACAAGCCTTCAATAAAAAAAAAGTATCTATGCTTAATTAAAAAAAACATATTCAATTCAAAAAGTCTGTTTCGTTTTTTTAGGGGCCAACCACCGAGTCTATTTCTGTGCTTAATAAAAAGAATAATTTGATTCAACAATTCTGTGAAAAACTTGGAGTAACACTGCATCCTAAATGTAAGTCAGAAAATTTTTTATTTCTAAATGTAAGTAATTTGTAATATATTTAATGCTTTTTTTAATTTTTTCTTTATTTAATTCTCATATGGAAATAGAAAAAAAAAAAAAGAAGAGATATGAGAATGATTTACAAATATACTACTTTGGTCCCATTTGTAAGGCACTTTCATCTTGTTTTATATATATCAAGAAAAACATTAAATTGTATTAACTCTCTATTAAAATATAACAACTTTTTAACTTTATTTCTTTTTAATATATACAGATTTCAAGAAAATAACTATTTACACTATAAAAAATGAAGCACATACTTTCATGCTAAAAATTTAATGAAGTAACTTATAAATAGGACTAAAAAATATTCTCTTCTGCCTTATAAATAGGATTAGAGGAGTATATAAAGAGAATTTTAAAGAGGAGTATACAAAAATTAGAAATTTTTGTCATTTTAATTTACTCTGTTGGTCTTATTTATAAGGCAGAGATATAATATTTTTCTTAATCCTATTTATAAGTTATTTTATTGAATTTTTAGCATGGATGTACTATTTTGTCCTTCATTAATTATAGTATTGATAGTTATTTTTTTTTATAGACGTGTATATATTAAATAAGGGTATAAAGTTAAAAAGTTGTTATATTATAATGGAGAATTAATGCAATTTAAAGTTTTTTTTCACCTGTATGAAACATGCTAAAAAAATTTTATAAATAAGACCAAAAAAATATTTTTTTAGTATGTGAGAATATGGTACAAGTGACTTATATTAAGTATCAGGGTACTTCTCTAGTCCTTAATATAAGACCTATTTAACTAATTTGATTAGATTAAGATAGTTAGGTAAGTTAGTTAATTATAAAAAATATGATATATTTTTTCTAAAATACCATAATCATCTTCTTTAATATCCTCCCCCTCTTTTACTTAATTATGGTTGAGGGAGTATCTATGTGAATAATTTAGAAAGACTTGATAAATATAAAAAATAGATTTTATATTTAGAATCAAAATCAACTTAATAATTAGATTCTATATTAAGAACCAAATGAGTATTATTTACTATTCCTGATAAAACGCACTCCTCGGTGGTTGTGGATGGACATTTTCACTACCCATTGAGGGTCCGTTTGGATCAGCGATTGGAAAAGTAGCTTATTGAAAAAGTAGCTTATAGAGAAGTGAAATTGGAAAAAGCTAAATTGGATAAGCTGAATTGTGTTTGGATTAGAGTTCAGAAAAGCTAGATTGCAAAAGTGAGATTGGTAAAAGGTTGTTTGGATTATGATTGAGTAAAAGTAAGTTTGGTTGTAAAATGACCAAAATAGATATGAGTTTTAATAAATAATGAAACATGATTAAAAAAATAATTTCACATAATACAATGAAATTAAAATAATTTAATATGAAGAAGTCATAAAAAATATTTTAAATATAAAGTGAAACATGAAAAAATAAAAGTATATTTTTAGGAGCATATTTAAAAATAAAAATATATTTCTAACTTATTCATTACTTTCAACTAATTTTAATTGATTTTTTATTATCTACAAATTAGTTATTTGAGGCTTATAATAAGAACCAAAAGAGGTAATAAATTTCTTAACCTTTTCTCTCTCCATATTTCAAAAGCCATAAGCCATAAGCTATAAGTCATAAGCTGTTAATTTTAGCTTATAACTTATTGTAGCTTTTCAAACAAAAGCCCGATTGCAAAAAAGCTGATCCAAACAGATCCAATTTTGTCAATCGAGTTTATAGAGCTTATAGAGCTTATAAGCTACTTATAAGCCCCAAATAAGTGATGCCAAACAGGCACTGAATGTCTGTGTGGTTGAAATTTGTACATAAAGTAATTATGATACTTTGAAATTTGTGCCGCTCGAGGTCTATGGAAACTTGGTAATGGATTTATTTGTATTTCAAATTTAAAACAGTATATCGCATGCATAGCTTCGGAGCATTAAGGTAGAAAAGTTATTGGTAATTAAAACTACCCCTATAAAGCATAATAACTATATTATGAAAATAATTACGGAAATGAATTTATTGCTGGCTGAAAAAGTATGAAGTTATTAACAGTTCTATTGTAAAGCCATAAAATATAGAAACCAGTTTACGAGGTAGGAAAAAAAGAGTGAATATTATTTAGCATATCTACTTAATTTTGCAAGAGAATTGCACTTTTAAAAGAAAATTAGATTTATTCCTTATACAGCAAAGATACTCCTTTGATTCCATTTATAAGACAGAGAGAGAAAACATTTTTTTCGTCATTTTTATAGAGTAGTGAGAGGAATTTTTTATATCAATGTATAATTTTACCTTTCATTTATTATTGTGTTGACTATGTTTATATGACATATAATGTATATTAAATGGGGATAAAGTTAGAATGTTATTGAATTTTAAAGGAAAGTTAATAAAGTTTAGGGTTTACTTTAATTTATGTAAAACATGTTAGAAACAACTTATAAATAGGATCAGAATGGTAAATAATATTCCAAACACATTTTATATAATATATATATAATGTATGCTCATTATTCGTTAGTTCTTTTCTTCAACTACCACATTTTGTCCAGGGACAAACGTCAAACAATGGATATTTTATTCAAAAAATTAGTTTTATTTGATTTTCTTTTTTAATTTTATTTTAGTATTTTTACTAAAAGGTGATATTACATAAAGGGATATCCCACAGTATAGACAATTTTCCTCACAAATGTGATCAATTAACCTTTCCCCCCAATTTCAGCAAAATTTGATGAGAGGATTGAGAGGGAAACTATTTTTGGGTACAAAGAGGGAAACTATTTACTTATTTCCTCTTAGCTAAAGTATATATTTGATCCTTTAATTTTACATAAGGTTCTAATTTAATCCATTAATTTTAAAAAGGATATATTTGGTCCTTTAACCCTAAAATTGTTAAGTTTAAATGATATTTTTTGTAACAATCATGATTGT